TGGAAAGTTATCCACTGATGAACAGGATCTGGACGGGCAACATGGTGTAGGCTCTCGTAATGATAACGGTGAGCGGTTACTTCATTTGTGTGGAGATGCTCGCTTATTTCTTGCGAGCACTAATTTCGGACATAGTACCCGCCGGAGGGTGAGTTGGCGCCCACCAGCTATGGATGCAAATCGATCACATTGCTATCAGTTACCGCTGGAGAGGCTGCGTCCAGAACTGTCGCTCGATTTGGAGCATATGTGTGGACACCGACCATGCACTTGTATGTGCGTTTTGGCGGACGCCCAAAAAGACGTTAGCGCGGTGACACCAGCCAACGGGCGAAGCCAGCTGTTCTGAATGCCTAGCAAAATTCCCTGACATGTGAGTTGAGTAAGCGCTTGCTGGAGACAATTGAAGCTCACTGGTTTCATATTCACCAGACTTTACTAGCAGCAGGAGAATCCTCATGTGTTAAGTCTAATCGCCAACACGGACATTGGGCTTCTTCGCAGTCTCTGGAACTTATCGATGCTCGGCGACATATTCCGGCTGGAAGCGAACATAATGAAACTCGCTAAGAGCTCCGGACAAAACTCTGTGCTGGCCTGAAGCGAGACACCGAATCCTGGTGGTCTCATCGTGCCTCGGAAATAAAAGTGGCCGCTGCCCTTGGTAACCATCGAAGGTTATTCTGTCTGATACGGGAAACGGGCTGCAAGAGGCCTGCTGTTAGTGAAGCTATACGTGATGAGAGTGGACAGCCTATCCATAACTTGTCAAAACGCTTGGAGCGTTGAGCTGAGCACTTTAAAAGGCAATTTAATTGGTCGAAATTGTTAGCTTTCTCACCGGCCACTCATCGCTTCGCTCCCTGGGCTGTCCCTTTGGATCTGCCCTCTCGCTCAGAAGTCGAACGTGAGATCGCATTGTTGAAGTTGCATAAAGCCGCGGGATCAGGTGATCTTCCTCCAGCCCTCTTCATATTCGGGGGACTTGCTCTTGTAGATGATTTACACAAGTTACTAGTGAAACCGTGAGAACAGGAAACTGTCACAACCGACTGGAGCCGCTCCGTCATAGTCCCAATTTTCAAAGGAGACTCGCGATCGGAATGCGGCAACTATAGAGGAATCAGTTTGATCTCCATCGCCTTTCAAATTGCTTGTCTCTGTCATCCTTCACAGACTGACTTGCACTCGTGAAAACCAGATTCGTGAAGAGCAAGCCGGATTTCGTCGAGATCGTGGCTACATTGACCACACCTTCACTTTGTGTCAGTTGTTGAAGCACCGTCATATATATTGTCGGCTCACCGTTGTCGTCTTCTCGATGTTAAAGGTGCATTCGATTCGGTGGATAGATGTGCCTTTTTGGACCGTCTGCTAAGGAATGGTGTACCTGAGAAATATGTGAATATTATCCGAGCATTATATGCGCGTGGCGCGGGCAGTGTGAGGGATTACGGCCAGATGTCATCGTCTTTTACTATATCCAGCGGTGTTAGACAAAGATGTCCGCCGTCACCTTTCCTCTTTAGCTTCGTCATTGGCGAAGTCATGGAAATCGCGCTCACGGAACACAAGTTAAAAGGTGTGGATCTGATCCCAGGAGAACGACTTCTTGACTTGGATTATGCTGACGATATTGCTCTAATCTGTGACAGCTCACGAACGCGCCAAGCTGCACTTGACAGATTAGCACTGTCTTTGCTTCCCACCGTCGAAGCGCAAGGTGTTCCTCCAAGACTGGTCTGGACTGCCTCCTACGCTGATCGTTGGTGGGGATCAGCTAGAAGTCGTTCGAAAATTCAACTACCAGGGAATTTGTATCAGTGCCCGTGGGATTGAAAATGAGATCACGAACCGTGCAGCAAAAGCTCGTGGCTCTGTACGGTTGTGAAACCTGGCCGCTTAAAGCAACGGACCTGAAGAGGCTAGTTATGTTCGACCACCGGTGACTTCGCAATTTAGTTCACATCTGGTCGGAACACCGCGTGAGCAACAAGCTTGTTGGACGCCTTGTTTACGGCACAGGGAAAGGAAACGAACCGCTCAGCACCGTCATTTCACGCACCAGGCTCCGATGGCTCGGCCATATGTTACGCAAGCCAGCCCACCGACTCCCGCGGCGTGCGTTGTATGCTTGCCAAGGGTGTGGATGGAAGAAGAGGAGAGGTGGTCAAGTGATGACTTGGTTGAGAGAAATGAAGGCCCTCACTTCGAAGCTGTTCTCGGTTGAAGCGTATCGGCTACCTATTTGTGGTCGGGAAGGCGAGAATACGTTTGTCTTGATACCGTTGTTGATATGGCTAGGAGCCGACTCAATGTCGTTGGTGCTATGAGTTTCTTTGTTTCACCTCATCCCTCTTAGCCTCCCCCTCCAACCACGATTTCACTATTTAGCCTTATACAATGTTGCATGGTAAATTATTTACTATGCTGCATAGTAGCCGACTGGTAGCTTACCGGAACGATGTCCATCCGTTTCCGGTAGCTCAGCTGACTTGCACCTGTTGCATTTTTCCCTTTTTTATTTTATATGTTGCGCCACTGTAGCTGAGGAGTTTCCCACCTCTAGCTATCGTGTGTGATGAATGCTGCGGAGGCTATCATCCACTCGTGAGTCACACACTACCGGGAGGAGTAGGCTGATTTTCTCCCGGTCGAGGACATGTGGATCAAGTATTCACTCTGCCAACTCCTGGAACATCGCCATCTCTACCGCAGACCTGGATATTCGGGCTGCGTTCGACTCCGTAAATCGACTTGCCTTATTGAACTATTTGCCAAGGAATGGATTTACTGAAAAGTATGTCGCTATACTTCAGGCAGAGTAAAAGCCTATGGCACGCTTTCCCCACTCTTCCCTGCCCAGTGTCACTGTTTCTCTTCAACTTCGCGATCGAAGATTTCCTTTTTGCTTGCTTTAGTGGGCCTACAGGACTTCGGCATCGAACTTCCACATAGTCCTGCGACCGACTTAGACTACCTTTATGATATCGCTCTGCTCGATAATGACCTTCATGGGATGCATTTAATCATTTATCGCTTGGTGATTGTAGCGTCTAAACTTGGTATGCGTTTTGCTCCCAACAAGTGCGCAGTTCTTCTACAGGACTGGCAGGCACCCCTTCCTCAATTCACCACCGCAGGCACACAGCTCGAACACCTAGATAGTTTTGTCTTTCTAGGAAGCAGCGTTTCTGCCGTGGGCACTATTAAAGCAGAGATATCCCTTCGAATCGCTAAAGTCCTGATAGCGTTTGCCAACTTAAAACATTTGTTGTGCCGTCCCGACATTTCACCCTCGCTAAAAAGCATGGTTTACAAGACCTGTGTACGCACAACATTGCCGTACGGATGCGAAGCCTGGCCGATCCGTGTGCAAAACATGCGTAGTCTTTCGGCCTTCGATAGTAGCTGTTTGCAGAGGATTACCCGCGTGCGTTGGTAACACCGAGTGTGTAATGATGACGTTAGACATCGCGTCTTGGGTAAGATTCCGCTTTTTATGTCATCCTGCTGCGTCAGTTGTGATCGTTTTGCTACGTCCTGCGCATACCTAACCAGCGTTCACCACGCAGCGCCCTGTTTGCGCATTCAGGGTTACTTTGGAAAAGGCCGCATGGCGGTCAACCGTCCACCTGGCGACAATGCATGACATCGGTGACATTTTGCCTGGCTGTCGCCTTTCCCGTACGACTCCCCGACTGGAGATCCAAAGAAGATTTCCAATGGCTGACAGCGCTGGAAGCAATAGTACAAAGTCGGTCGCAGTGGAAGCAATGTACACAAGTCTGTCTGAACTCAGGTTTGCAAAGACTATTTCTTGACTACCGCAAAGTAATACAAAATGATGTGTATAGAACGACATTATATATATAGTATTTTCCGGGATAAGCGATTTGCTTACAGGTGCTTTACTGACAGAATAATAGCATCTGCTCATCTTACAATTAATCAACTTGCCTTCGTTCCCGACCTCATTCTTATTGTTTGTCACAATCCACTCGCCTCTTTGATTCTTAGTGACTGAATCTCTGCTGAACGGTCGCTTTCTTTGACGTGAGGCTGTCTGCTAACCTGGTTTTTTAGACCTAATCGTTTATTGATTCGGTTTATCATGAGTTCAGAGGCTAGGTGCAATCATGTGCCTTTCGGAATTTTTTCTCCTTTGTTTTCAAATGACCTTTATTACTCTCTGAGTCCAATTGCAATGCGAATAAATTTTTGGCCGTGCTCCCGACTTCCTGAAGTAAGTTCGGGTATGCTTGAACCAGACTTCTCGACTTATACAGCTGTTGAAAATCACTTCCGATGTTTCTGCTCTATTCATCTTGCCTTTGACCTTGGACTTTCTGTTCCTAATAGCTTCCTTCGACTTCTGAGCGACTATAGCTCTAAAGTATACTAAAGCTCTCTACCATCTCAGAAAATCCGCTGATGTAGAGTTGAATAATTTTCTTCCTTTCTCAAAATTGTGGTATCCTTTCTGACGTCACACAGCGCCGAATTGGGCTTTTTAGTTACAGATTCCATTTATGCACATTGATCAAAATGCGCTCCTCCACCCCGTTTGATTATGTTCTGCCGCAACGTGTCCGGGTCTGTTTACAAGTGACTCGCGCTACTTCATTTATTATTTCTCGAATGGTCGCCATAGGATTTGGTCTACTCTACTTTAACCTTGATGGGCTGTTTCCGCCAAGGATCTGGTCTTGTAAATCCCCACGTGAGCATCCAAAAGTGACATCTGACCGTAGTTCCTTACTCCTCTGATAATCTGCATGATATCAACAATAATGTTGCTGTTACCGCATTTTTCGCAGCCTGAAACTCCATCTACCACTCACTTAACGTATCTGAAATGTTGCTTTCCATATCCTGATCGCTATGTGTTTTAAAGTTTGCATCACTACCTCGGCAGCTAGCCTTGAGCTCTCTCTCTTCCCTAGTACTGTTTCTGGTGAACTATCTTTAAGTTGCTGTCCATATCTTCCACCTTCCAGTCTTGTGCCGAAGCTATCATCCCATCTTATCTGCCAATTGTGAAGAAGCGAAAAGATATGCCTTATGGAGAATTAGAGCGGTAAGTGTCCTAATTTCGTGTCTCATTCATTTTTGTTCACTATTGTCGATATACAGTCTTACAGCAGGAACACTGCACTTTTCAGCACCGTCCGCCTTTCCGTTTAAGCTAGAAACTACCTTCGGTTAACTCTTTTCGGGAAACAGGCAACCGTTAATTCCCCAGCTGCGCTACTGGTGCTCCATAATGACTTCTACCAAAGGACGGACGGTGGGGACCCGATAATCCTGTTATTTGTGCATCTACGCTGCGGTAACCACTGTGCGTCGCCACTCGATGCGGAATCTCCATGAGGCACACGTCTAGGCTGCTTTATCACTCCTGGCCTAACTCAAATGCCAGGCATTTGGTAACCTATCGCAAGGATGGCTGGCATTCTCACCGATCTTGTCTGCATTTCCCGCCACGTTCTTATTTCACATCTGCGTATTTTTCTCTATCTACTCCTTAGCTTTCTCTTTACTTTTCAGTGAATGGCAGCTAGTTCGTCGCGGGCGATATGTGGAGTTCAACCTCATCTACGATCGTGGAACCAAGTTCGGCTTGGCCACTCCTGAGGCCCGAATCGAGAGCATTCTCATGTCTCTCCCACTTCATGTGGTAAGTCCACGCGTTCTTTTCCCCATCGCTCAATTTCCGCTTATCGCCGCTCCTTATTTTTCATCCACTTGCAACTATTTGATGCCCTACCTGTTACTTCCCGTTACTCTCTAGATATCACTCTTAGGAAGTTCCTGTTCACCTTCAAGTGTGGGATGGAAGCTTGCTTAGATGACCCGTGCTTCTTCTTTCTCACAAATAATCGCACTTGATCTATCTTCTTTTCGGGCCCGTTGCTAAATGCACCGTACCGTTATTTGTTACCGGATGACGTTATGATCCCGCGGTTATACACTGTTGTCCAACTGATGAGACCTTCCAGACTTCGGAGGGTTGATAACCATTAGTTTCATCCCTCTGGCCCAACATGCCTCACACATCTGATACGAATGCCAGTCAGCTAGATGCCATACGCTAGAAAATTTGACTTCAAACTTTATTTATATTTGTGAATTACGGTGTCTAACGATCTCACCGTCCTAAGTTGTTTCGCACTCAATAGCGCACAAATCCCTGCGCACAAGGTAGCGAGGAATGGTCCGAGCGACCATCAGTCGATCGACAAACTTCTGTTTCTTTGATCGTCTCTGTTGTTGAAATTGCATCAAATAATCCGAGCCTACTATCCAGGCAACCCGGTGTGTTTATCCAATGAACACTTGTGTATCTTCGTTTTGCCTTACTCGTTCCGCTGACAGCACTTTATTTAAGTCTTTAGTCGGTTCGATGGGGTAGCGGAAGGCTCGAGCATCCAAGCGGTCATCTACACTTAGTCATTTATTCAATTGAATTTATCAAACGGCCCTGATTTCGTCGGCCGAACTCGACATGTCTGCACAGTTTTCGCAGTATATATATATATATATATATATATATATATATATATATATATATATGGTTGGCGGCATCCACTTTCGGATTTGCCTGTCACTGTGGCCAGCCACAGGACGCCTGCGCCTACAGATGGACCATGGGTGACTTGCGCTGCACCACCCACAGCTCCATCCACACGCCCCATATCCAGTGTAAACCCGAAGGAATAAGACCGGGAGGCATGTGGATGAGAGCCACGTTTCATCAACGGAGCCGGCCCATATTCCTTCACAGGCAAACACAAGCACACTGTATTTGGGGAATCAAGTGCACACAAGGCGGTGGCTGGACCGTAGTCCACTCCACACTGAGTGCATGGAACCACTTCGAGCCTGGCACGGCCACAAGGACTATGCACCCCGTCCCCTCCAGCAACGACCAACTGTCTCCTGGAGCCAGTATGGACGAGGTAGTGGGTAATAGACAGGTAGGCACCTTGTCAACATGCACATCAAGCGCAGCCACACCGGGGATATCATGCAACATCCAATCACTTAAGAGAAAGATAACAAAGAAAATGACTCGGTTGATGCATAAGGAAATGGTGACATAAATCTTAAGTTAATGAGCATATGAAATAAGTTGTTTGCAAAGAAATCCGAGATAAATTCACGAGATCGAAAAGTATATTTTACGGAAATGCCACAAACACGAAAATGTTACCGAAATTGGCTTAAGCGACGTCTGCAAGTCTATATAAGAGAGTATAGGTAGACATTTATATGAGAAAGAAAAGCATTAGGATAACATTGAAAACCCAACACCTGAAATAAATAAATAAAGAGACTTAGCATGCAAGCACGCGGTTAGTAAATCGAATGCAGCGTACCTAGAAACGCTGCGCCGGCTCTGTCTACGTTCTCTGCAGGACTCGTCGTCGCTTCTATAGTGGTTTTGAGTGGCCTCGCTCATGGCTCACTAAGCATGCCTGACTCAGGCGCTCGCGACCGCATGTGCTACAACACCGTGCGCTTGATGTCGATGGAGTACAACCCATCTGTGCTAGCCGCTTCCGCGATTGACGCTTCTTCTCCGCATGCATGAGGTCTATCTCCTGCACCTCGGCAACTGCCTTCGTGATTAGATCGCGCCATGCACGCCGATCAACCGCCTTCGATTCCCATGATCTGCAATCAAGATTAGAACGTGAGAGGCTCACTTTAATCACGTCCTGGTAACAAAGCTTCGGTTTCCCCACGTGCCGCTTCCCAATACTCAGCTGCCCATCTAATAGTTTTTCATTATCCGCGTTGAATCCATACGGCTCACATGACCGATCCACCTCAGGTGTCTCAGCAAAAGTATGCAGTCAACTGCATACATTCCACTTTGTCGCAACACTTCCGTGTCCGCAACTCTGTCGCCCCAACCGATGCGCAGAATCCGTTGCAAACACTGCTGATGGAACCGCTCGAGATATCGCACATCCAGCCGGTACATCGTCCACGTTTCACTGCCGTATAGAAGAACGGACAGCCCCATGGATTTGTAGAAAATCAGCTTCGTGTCAATGGTAACCTGATGGTTGTTCCACACTTGATACTCAAGCTTCCCGAATGCCGCCGCTGCCTTCGACACCCTGGTACGCAGCTCACTATGTAGCTGCTGATCGGTCGACATCATACTCCCAAGGTAGCAAAAGCGGGAGGTGGTTTCCAATACTTCGTCACCAATCCTGATTCGCGGCAATATTGAAGACTGTACCTCCGGTGAAGGCTGAACGAAGCAGACAGTTTTGCTTGTGTTGATGGTGAGCCTGAGCACTAGTCATGTGCTGCAACTCATCCGCGCTGTGTGCAAACAACGCACAGTCGTCAGCAAACAGCAACATCCGGATAGTTGTCTCGCAGACTGGAGTTTTCGCACCGGAACGACGGATGTTTAGCAAATCACCATCAATACGGTGCTCCACACGAACACCGTAAGCACAAGCGGCATCAAAAGCACTGGACAACATTGCAGTCAAACTGATTTTGCCAGATGTGCATTATGTCTGCAGTCTGGGTTCAGGTAGCGCCTGAACTACCATTGATCAATGTCCTCAGCGGCCCCAGTCTCGGTCCACACACCGCCTTCAAGGAGTCAAAGAATTCCTTGTGTTGACGGCGTTCCGCGTAGCATTCCATCTGCTTCGCCTTCTCAGTGCGCCATGCCTTTTTAATGCGACGGAGCTCTCGTGTCAGTCGCCGTCGAAGTTTGCGAAACGGACTATTCTTCCCCAAGCCACTGTCAGGCAAGCTTATCAAGAAGCACTGCATAGCGAACTCTCGCTGTCTTGTCCTAATGATACTGAACTTCAGTGGAATAGGATCTCGGCCACTATGCACGACGCAGGAGCATCTGTTTGTGGCACTATCAGTCGTCATCGCACCAGTCACTGGATATCCGAGAGGTCCGTGAACCTTTTGGAAGCTAGAAGGCACCTCCCGGCTGGTTCTGAACACAATGTGACCAGACGGGCTATTAGGCGTGAACTAAAGCGGAGCCTACGTGCTGACAAGGAAGCCTGGTGGACCAGTCGGGCTCAAGAAATGGAGGAGGCAGGAGCAGTAGGCAATTACCGGAAGCTCTTCCAGCTAATCCGCACCACTGGTCCGAGAAAACCAGGCGTCAGTGAGACAATCAGGGACAGCGCGGGTGCGCTGATACACAATAAGGAGCGTCGTATGGCTCGTTGGGCTGAGCACTTTGAACAGCAGTTCAGCTGGCCCCCTGCTCCCGGACCTCTTCCTACTCAAGTGATGCTGGACGAGCCATGGACGGTTAGTTTAGAGCCTCCGTCGTAGGCCGAAGTCCGAAACGCGATCACAGCCCTTAATGGTTTTCGTGCCGCTGGCCCGGATTCCCTACCACCTGCACTATTTAAGGATGGTGGTGAGGTCCTCTGCAAAGCACTGACCTCCCTATTCGAACGTATCTGGAACGAAGAGAGTGTGCCAGCTACTTGGAGCGAATCGATTATAGTGGCAATGTACAAGAAGGGCAGTCGCACAGCCTGTGCGAACCACAGGGGTATTAGCCTAATGCCAGTTGTGACAAAATTACTGGCCTCGATTATCGTTCGTCGCCTCACTGCAGAACGGGAATCTCGGATTAGAGAAGAGCAGGCCGGTTTTCGCCCAGGACGTGGCTGTATAGACCATATATTTACTTTGCGGCAGGTGCTAGAGCAGCGCCACGCATACCGCAGACCGACAATAGCTGTGTTCCTCGATTTCAAGAGTGCGTTCGATTCATTTGATCGATCGATTCTGTTCGAAATACTTGCGCGGAAAGGTGTTCCTACGAAATATGTGAACATCCTTCGTGCTCTTTACTCGAACACTAGAGGCCGCGTCAGGGTCTATGGTGCCCTATCGGATAGCTTTTCGACTACAAGTGGCGTTCGACAGGGTTGCCCGATTTCCCCATTTTTGTTCAATTTCGTCGTGGATTCTATCATGGAGTGTTCCCTTGCGGAATCTCACGATGTAGGTGTTGAAGTGCTGCCTGGTGAACGGTTAGTTGATCTAGATTACGCGGACGATATCGTCTTGCTTTTCGACAATGTTGAAGCGGCACAATCAACCCTGAATAGCCTGTCCAGAGTGGTCTCATTATTTGGTATGCACTTCGCACCTTCAAAGTGCAAAGTGTTGCTGCAGGACCACCAGCCACTCGATGACCCCTTGACGCTTGCTAACGAGGAACTCGATGTGGTTGATCAATTCACTTATCTTGGCAGCTGCATCAGCAATGATGGGCACATAGAAACTGACGTGAGCTCACGCATTGCAAAGGCCAGAGCTGCCTTCTTGTACCTGCGTCATCTTTGGCGACAGAAGGGAGTTTCCCTCCGTCTGAAAGGCCGTGTATACAAGGCCACAGTGAGGGCGGTTCTGCTCTATGGTAGTGAAACTTGGCCCCTTCGGTCTGAAGATCTGAGGCGCCTTCAAGTCTTTGATCATCGTTGTTTGCGAAGCATTGCTGGTGTCGGATGGCACCAGCGTGTCGGCAACGATGATGTGCGTAGGCCAGTACTAGGTAGTGATGATCATGCTAGCTCCCTAGAACAACAGATAGCACTGAATAAGTTACGTTTGCTCGGGCACGTGCTACGCATGCCTGGTCACCGCTTACCTAGGAGG